TCGCTAAGCCTTTGTACCAAAGGGAACACAAACTTTTCATTGAATGTAGGGTTCTTATCACCATCTAAAAAAAAAAACAAATCAAATTATTGATTTAAATCCAGATGTATAAATAAATAAGAAAAACAAAGAAGACCAAAAAAAAAAAAAAAAAGAGAAAGCTTTAAATATTACCAGAGCAGGTTTTGGTTCGGTGTTTAGCAGTGCCATACTCAATAGCAACATATGGATCTTGTTGGATTGTAATACAAAATTGACAGCAAAACAGCAGCAGCAAACCAATGAAAGAACAGTAACGAAACAGCAGAAGAACATCAGTGAAACAACAGAAAAATAGCAAGAGCACTGCAGGAAAAATAGCAGAGAGACAGCAGCAATACAGTAAAAGAACAGCAGTGAAATAGCAGAAAAATAGCAGGGAGACAGTAGCAATACAACAATAATACAGCAGTGAAACAGCAACGAGCACAGCAGCGAAATAGCAGCAAGACAGCAGCGTCAAGACGTGCAAAAGCACTGTCCTTAAGATCAGAATTTGGCCCCTGCTGGAAGAATCTTCATGGTGCAAAAAGGTTCAACAGCAGATTGACCTCCAGGATACAATGACGAATCTCCTTTTAGAGTGCACACTCTAATAGAGATTTAGAACAATATAAGAAAAGTAACAATGGTGAAGGAGAGCTGGAAAGTTAAAAAACACAGAGAAACAAAGATTTTTCAAGTGAAAAGTTGTGTTTTTCAAATGAGAAAACCACCCCCGTTTTATACTTGAAATTATGCCCGTTTCCCTTGCTGTAACCGAAGCCAATCAATTGCTTTTAAAACCATAACCGTCCATTTGAATTGCAATAACTTGGAACAATTCAATTGCCTTTAATACGTAACAGTCCAACAAAAAAGCAATATTCAATATCAATTGCACATAACAGTCCAAAAGCAATTAAAGTTTCAATTGCTTTTAACACATAACAGTCCCAAAGCAATTAAAATCACATAACAATCCAAAGCAATTAAATTGTGGTATTTTGAAATACCATAATAGCAGCTTTTATCACAATTCCCCACATATTTCAAAATAACCAATCACCACTAATTATAGAATTTAATGTTTCTGAGTTGGTGCCTTTCAGACTATGAACCAATCATTGAGTAACTAAATGTGAGTTACAAAAATTTGGTGAAAGTAAGTTTCTATGAACCAAAAATTTCTTTATGTAATTCAGAGGATTAGTTCCTCACACTAAATTCTCAATATCGTATATTGTTCTGCGGTTTAGCACTTTATGGCCCTATGCTAGCGTGGATTTCATGAGTGCTCTAGAGATGCCTACCTAAGCTCTCATAGGAATCGACCCAATTCCACACTCACATAGGTGAACCTCCATAAGGTGTGAATTGCAGTTTTTCACACCACCATTTATATTGGCTATGGATTTCATTAAGATTAATTCTACTCAACCTTATTCACTGCGATCAATATTATCTCGCCATAGGGTGGACTTTCTATATAAAATTCGATAATACTTATCAAGACAACAAGTGACTTGTTATTACCCTTATGAACCTACTTCCTGGGATCTCCAATCACATAGGTAGGGTTACCATCACTCTTGCCTTATGCTTTAGGCATAAGTCCCATCCCCCTCGACGTGTATTCCACTAACCTCCTACTTAGTGGTTTAGTCAGAGGATCGGCCAAATTTAACTCTGACTTCAGAAAATCTAGGCTCACTAACCCAGATTCTAGCAGCTACTTTATAATGGTATGTCTTATCCGGATATGTCTGCTTTTCCCATTATAAATTTTGCTCTTTGCTTTCGCTATTGCGGCCTGACAATCACAATGGATTGATACTGAAACAGGAGGGTGAGTTTCAATGGGAAGATCTGCTAAGAAATTCCTTAACCACTCAGCCTCAGAACATGCCTTTTCTAAGGCCATAAGCTCAGACTCCATGGTAGACCGAGCTATGCAAGTTTGTTTGGAAGACTTCCAAGACACAACACCTCCACCAAGTGTAAAGATATAACCACTTGTGGATTTTATTTCATCTAAATCTAATATCCAATTGACATCGAAATATGCTTCTAATAGAGGTGGTGTACTTCCAAGCATTAGCCCATAATCAATGGTGCCCTTCATATATCTAGCAACTCTGTCTAATGCTATCCAATGACTCTTATCAGGATTATGAGTATACCTACTCAATCTAGTGACAGCATAAGCAATATCAGGCCTTGTACTATTCATTAAGTACATAAGGCTACCGATGATTTGGGCATATCTATTTTGACTCACACTATATTGTGTATTTTTCTTGAGTTAAGTATTTCCATCATAAGGAGTTGAGATGGGTTTACTGTCTAAATACCCAAATTTTCTTAAGAAATTTTCAACATAGTGTTGTTGTGATAACTTAAGACCATCATTTATCTTAATGATTTTAATCCCAAGAATAACATTTGCCTCTCCCATATCTTTCATATCAAAATTTGAAGCAAGAAACCTTTTAGTCTTAATTATCACATCCATATTAGCACTAAATATTGACATGTCATCAACATAGAGACATATTATCACATAAGTGTTGTCTTCAAATGATTTACAATATACACATTTATCTGAATCATTAATTGTATAACCATTTGAGACTAACACTTAGTCAAACTTCTCATGCCATTGTTTTGGTGCTTGTTTAAGTCCATAAAGAGACTTTACCAGTTTGCACACTTTATGCTTATTACCTGGGATAACACAACCCTCTGGTTGTTTCATATAAATTTCTTTATCCAGGTCTCCATTAAGAAAAACTGTCTTTACATCCATTTGATGTTTATGTAATTTGTAAATTGCAGCTAAAGCAATTAACACTCTAATTGATGTTATTCTTGTTACAGGAGCATAAGTGTCAAAATAATCTATATCTTTCTTTTGTGTATAACCTTTGGCAACCAATCTTGCCTTGTATTTATCAATTGATCCATCGGTCTTTAATTTCTTTTTAAATATCCATTTGCACCCTATTGGTTTAGTTCTTGGAAGCAAATTAACTACTTCCCATGTATGATTACTCATAATGGACTCGATTTCATTATTTATTGCCTCTTTCCAAAGGAATGCATCTCGAGAAGTCATTGCTTCCTCATAAGTATGAGGATCATCCTCTGTAAGAAAGACATAGTAATCATCGCCAAAACTTTTGGCCCTTATATAACTTCTTACTTCTTCTTATGTCTAACTCTGAACTTTCAGAAGAATTCCGAAGAGTTTCATTTTGAGGAGAACTCTCAAAAGTTTCATTTTGAGGTAAAGCCTTTTCACAATTGATTTTCTTAGGAAAAACATTCTAAAAAAAATCTGCATTTTTAGATTCAATGATTGTGTTTGCATCATACAAACCAACCTCTTGCTTTATTACCATGAATCTATAAGCAGCACTGTTCTGAGCAAAACCTACAAACATACAATCAACAGTCCTGGGTCCTAACCTTTTCCTTTTAGGTTCAGGAATTAGGACTTTAGCAAAACACCCCCACACTTTAAAATATTTCAGGTTAGGTACATGACCTTTCCAGAGTTCATATGGTGTTTTGCCTGTTTTCTTAAAAGGAATCTTGTTTTGTATGTAACAAGCTGAAAGCATTGCTTCCCCCCACAAATTAAAAGGTGCTCCAGAACTAATCAACAAAGCATTCACCATTTCTTTTAAAGTTCTGTTTTTCCTCTCAACAACTCTATTAGACTGTGGAGAATAAGGAGGTATAGTCTCATGTATAATACCATGATCTCTACAAAAAGAATCAAAGTCATTTGACTCATATTCATCTCCTCTATCTGTTCTTAACCTTTTAATTTTCTTATTGAGTTGATTCTCAACTTCATTTTTATATGTTAAGAACATTTTAATTGCTTCATCTTTACTTCTCAATAAGTATACTCTAGTAAATCTAGAGTGATCATCAATAAAAGTTATATAAAACTTTTTTCCTCCTCTGGTCATGGTTTGTTTCAAATCTCCAAAATCACTGTGAATTAAACCCAGAAGCTCATTTTCTCGTTCTAGAACTGGTTTACAATTCTTTTTAGTGGATTTAGATTCCACACACACATCACATTTATCAATATTTGAAATATTGATATTTGATAGTAAACCAAGTTCTTTCATCTTTTTCAGATAACCATAATTCACATGACCTAATCTACCATGCCATAAATCTATNATGAATCTATAAGCAGCACTGTTCTGAGCATAACCTACAAACATACAATCAACAGTCCTGGGTCCTAACCTTTTCCTTTTAGGTTCAGGAATTAGGACTTAGCAAAACACCTCCACACTTTAAAATATTTCAGGTTAGGTACATGACCTTTCCGAAGTTCATATGGTGTTTTGCCTGTTTTCTTAAAAGGAATTCTGTTTTGTATGTAACAAGCTGAAAGCATCGCTTCCCCCCACAAATTAAAAGGTGCTCCAGAACTAATCAACATAACATTCACCATTTCTTTTAAAGTTCTGTTTTTCCTCTTAGCAACTCCATTAGACTGTGGAGAGTAAGGAGGTGTTGTCTCATGTATAATACCATGATCTCCACAAAAAGATTCAAAGTCATTTGACTTATATTCACCTCCTCTATCTGTTTTTAACCTTTTAATTTTCTTATTGAGTTGATTTTCAACTTCATTTTTATAAGTTAAGAACATTTTAATTGCTTCATCTTTACTTCTCAATAAGTATACTCTAGTAAATCTAGAGTAATAATCAATAAAAGTTATATAAAACTTTTTTCCTCATCTGGTCATGGTTTGTTTCAAATCTCCAAGATCACTGTGAATTAAACCAAGAAGCTCATTTTCTTGTTCTAGAACTGGTTTACAAGTCTTTTTAGTGGATTTAGATTCCACACACACATCACATTTATCAATATTTGAAATATTGATATTTGATAGTAAACCAAGTTCTTTCATCTTTTTCAGATAACCATAATTCACATAACCCAATCTACCATGCCATAAATCTATAAGCAGAAGAAGGTGCATTTTCATTCATAATAATATTAAGTACACTGAGTTTAAATAACTCTCCAGAACAATACCCCTTCCCAACAAAAGCCCCATTTTTGGACATTACAATTTTGTCACCCTTAAAGGAGACTTTCACTCCAGCCTTCCCCAATACATAAACAGATACAAGATTATATCGAATGTTTGGAACATGTAAGACATTACTCAGTGAGAGAGTTTTCCCAAAAGTAAGTTTGAGAAGAATTTTCCCCTTTCCCATAACAGGAGTAGAGCGAGAATCACCAAGGTAAACACATTCTTCTCCATTCCTCACTGGTATATATTCATAGAAAGAATTTCTATCTCCACAAATATGCTTTGTGGCCCCATAATCAATTATCCATTCTTTCTTTTCAGCAATCATGTTCACTTGTGAGACAACCACAGCAGCAATAACATCATCTCCCTCAGCAAGATTGGCTTTAGGAGGATTTTTGTTGTCTCTAGTTTTTCTGTATCTGCATTGGCTAGCAAAATGTCCAGTTTTCCCACACACAAAACAGTGTCCTTTCTTTTTGAAAGCGTTGGGTTTTTTGTTGTTAAACAATATCTTACTATTGTTCTTAAAACTCTACGGTTTCTTGTTCTTAGGTTGAGGATGAGCCACTTGGTTTTCAACAACATTAGCTTTGGATGTCAATTCCTTGGCCTTATCGACTTTATCTCTAAGCCTATTCGTCTCCTCAATCCTAATATGTACTATCACATCTTCTAAGCTCATTTGCTTTCGCTTATGTTTCATACTATTCTTATAATCTCTCCATGAATCTGAAAGTTTCTCAATTAAACAACCAGCCACAAAGGTTTCAGGAAGAATTATTTCTTCATTTTTCAAATCATTTATCAATAAATGATAGTCATGGACTTGCATATATACCTCTTTTTCTTCTATCATTTTAAAATCTAGAAAGTTTCCTATAGCATATTTTTGTGATCCAGCATCCTCAACAACATATTTCTTTTTCAGGATTGCCCATATCTCATGTACAGTCTTATAAGCACAATAAACATCATAAAGCTCATTTGATAATGTACTGAGAATAGTATGGCTACCTTCCTTATTTCCTTTCTTCCATGTATCAAGTTTTTTGTCAAAATTGTCCACTTCAGGTTTTGGTTCTTCTGTTGAGAGATACTCTGCAAAACTGAGCACATCCAAGGAGTCGAATACTTTTCTTGCCACCTCTTGAAATGAGCTCCGGCAAAAGGCTCAATTTTGGAGATGTTAGGAAGTGATTTGGCAGTGAGAATTGCAGCGTCCATCAGTGGAAAAATTCTGATCTTAAGATTGTTGGAATTATTGTTGGAATTTATTAATAAAATCGGTAGCAAAACAGTAGCAGCAAACCAGTGAAAGAACAGTAACGAAACAGCAGAAGAACAGTAGGAAAATTACAAGAGAACCGCAGGAAAAATAGCAGAGAGACAGCAGTAATACAACAAAAGTACAGCAGTGAAACAGCAAGAAAATTGCAAGAGAACTGTAGGAAAAATAGCAGAGAGACAGCAGCAATACAGCAAAAGAACAGCAGTGAAACAGTAGGAAAAATAGCAGCAAGAACAGTAGGGAGACAGCAGTGTCAAGGCGTGCAAAAGCATTGTCCTTAAGATCAGAATTCCGCCCCTACTGGAAGAATCCTCGTGGTGCAACAAGGCTCAACACCGAATTGACCTCCAGGAAACAATGACGAATCTTCTTTTAGAGTGCACACTCTAAAAGAGATTTAGAACAATATAAGAAAAGTAACAGTGGTGAAGGAGAGCTGGAAAGTTAAAACACACAAAGAAACAATGATTTTTCAAGTGAAAAGTTGTGTCCGTCAAATGAGAAAACCACCCCCTTTTTATACTTGAAATTCTGCCTGTTTCCCTGGCTGTAACCGAAGTCAATCAATTGATTTTAAAGCCATAACTGCCCATTTGAATTGCAATAACTTGGAACAATTCAGTTGCCTTTAATACGTAACAGTCCAACAAAAAGGCAATATTCAATATCAATTGCACATAACAGTCCAAAAGCAATTAAAGTTTCAATTGCTTTTAACACATAACAGTCCAAAAGCAATTAAAATCACATAACAGTCCAAAGCAATTATTGGTATTTTGAAATACCATAACAGTAGCTTTTATCACAGTTTATGCACACCTCAATTAGTTCTTCGACCTCAAATAAGGTCTCCAAAACAGGATAAGTCTTGCGGTCCGTGATCAACAATATTAACAACCGTTACTATGATTCAAACTTGAAACCACAAGTGAAGTAAACCCCTTAGTCTCGAGTCTTTACCACGCAGCCAACCTATTGTAAAAGAATTTCATAAATTTTATAATTTATTATTTAATTTCCCCTAGGTATCATTAAATAGCAAACTCCCCTTTATAAAATTGAATTTCCTGAAGGTATCATTATATAATTTTTTTTTTTTTTTTTAAAGTTTTGGGCAGTGCCAAATTTATTTTGGACAAATATTTATTAAATAATAGAAAGATACATTATAAAATTGAAGATTGAAACGGCCCCAACATATGTTCACTTTTCATTCTTGTTCGATTGTGAGATTAATTTTAACTACTGAAGATAAAACTGTCTATCCCCTTACAATTCGAAGAAAAAAAAAAATGAGTTCATTTGTCATTGAGTAATGCTACAGCCACTGACGGTAGTGCACCGAATTTGTGCACTGAATGACGTGACAAAATCCTGACCGTTGATTAATATTAAGTTAAAATTGATTAACGGCCAGGATTTTACCACGTCATTCGGTGCACAAATTCAGTGCACTACCGTCGGTGGCTGTATTATTTTCCTTTGTCATTTTATGGACCGCAACGGCATAGCCTATTGGCGACATAGGTAGTTGTTCCAACTTCCAAATACAATAATATTTTTCGTTAAAATAGAAAGAGTGATACTACATCAACAATTTTCTCTTACAAACTTTTTCTTATAATTAACTTACAATCGATCAGCTTACAATTAAGTAGTAAGACCCATGTGGGACCTATTGTGAACTGACTAATGAAAAAAAGTTTGTGAGAAAATGTTGTTATTGTAGTATTATTCATAAAAGGATTTTCTTACTGTTATCTAGTTTGTGAAATGATCTCAATTCTCTTATATATGTTTTTTTTAAAGCATCCACTGGTTTAAAGAATGACATCAATTCAATCTTTAAATTAATTTTAAAAATATATTAATTTCTTAATATTATCAATAAATTTTGGATGCTAAATTGATTGAATTTTGATAAATTGATAAAAAGTCATTTCCTTCAAATTTAAACAGAATAATCTAAGAGTCTTTAAAAAGTGGAGGATAGTGATACTTTTCCAAGACCAACGGATACTACCGCATTTTCATCACAAAAAGGTCACACTCATAAGGATTATGTCGTATTTTCGAAACTAACAGGTACTCACACAGAAAGATCAAATATATCAAAGTTTATTATGAAATACCCATATATAAAGTATGATACTATCAAAGTTTTTGTTCAAAGGATAAAAATTAACGTAAATTTTAAGTATTTTTTATAAATAATTATTTAGCTAAATTAATAATTTAATAAAAAATTGAAAATTAGTTGACAGAACCGTACTAATGGACAGTGATCAAAATTTATCAAACTCAACTTAAAATAACAACTAATTAACCTATACCTCAAAAATCAAAATCCACATCAAAATCTATGAATTTCATCTTCTAATTTCAACACATTTATTAAGCTCACCAAAAACCAATCGTATTACCCAAAATTAATTAAATGAAGCTCCTTCAACGTACAATTATGCAAATTACATACCTAAATTGATAAAAACAACCCAGGATAACATAGCTCATAATCTTTGATCAATTAATAAAGATAAAAGAAGAGTTTTTAAGCAAATTAACAAATAATGAGCATCATCTTAACTGGTGACCTCCAAATGAGTAGTCTTTCTTGATTAATCTAATTAAAGAAATAAGAAAGTATGAGAGAAGAGGAGAGTAACCGAGGGAGAGAAAAAACCTGAAAAAAAAATATGGGCATTTTTGAATGGTGTGTTTGTTTTATTATTTTGAATAGTATTTTTGAAAAAGTTGAGTTGGGTTATTATTAAGAAGATAGGATTTGAATTTGAAAATGTATTTGGTCAGATTATTTTTTAATCCCCTATATTTGTTAATCTAGTTAAACACCTCCTACAATGAAAATTTTAAGATTAAAAAAAAACACCCCCACCCACCCATTAAATGTCAGCGGCCGGCCACTGGCTATCAGAAATATGTGGGTTGGTGGGAGTGTTTTTGTCAAATTATAAACTTATTTTTGTTGATGGTGTTTAGTTAAATTAATAAATCTAGGGGGTTTGAAAAATAGTTGAATAGAATAAAATTTGATTTTATAATAGGGAAACCAATATGTATTTTTGAGTAGGATAGAAATATCATAGAGTAGAAATATAGGTAATTTTAGTGGTCAAAAAATTGTTAATTACCATAAAATATATACATATTTTTAATAATTTCAGAATTTTAGTAGGGTTAAGTGACTCCACTAGCTATACTCTGACTACGTCTCTAGTTGTGTTGTCAAATGTGCCGGTGATGATCTCATGGCCAATTTTTATTTAAAAAGTTATTATCAATATATTTTAATAATTAAAAAAAACTTATTTAAAAAGATCTATTTTGTTTTTATATATATATAAGTAATTTAAAAACTAAACTTTAATAAACACTTTATAACTTTAGCATAAAATTGTAATTATTTGTAACCTAGAGTCATAAATGATCAAAACAGAAGTTACAACAATCTTTAATTTAAATTAATATTAATATTAATTTAATTATGCAAGAAAACCGAGAGGAAAAAATAGGAAAGTTAAAGTTAATTTAAACCATCTCACGTGGACTCCAATCTACATTAACTAGATATGGTCTCAAATGCACTTCAAAATTCAAAATCTCGCAATCATGATTCCGTTGATTAAGGCTTTTAAGAGAGTAAAAAAAATACAATTGGTTATGAATTTGGACAAATCATGGCTAGAATATTATCTCTTTTGTTAGAGAATTGACACTTAAATGATACGAAATCTTGACCATAAAAGAGAAGTAAACACTGGTTTGAATTGAATTTTGTACTATTTCATTCATATGTCAAAATTGGTTTATATACACAGACAGAGTAACTATGTATGGAAAGTAAATAACGAAAATATTAATACAATGTAAAACCGATCCTTGATTCTAGCTTGCTGCAATCTTGGCATATCAGTTGTTAACATTTTGAATCTTCTATTACATGTGAGTTGGCATATGATGACAGTTCATTCTTCCTTGATATGCCCCCGCAAGAACGGGCTACCATCTGTCAGACCGATCTTGTTTCGTAGATAATCTGTGTGTTGCCTTGAAAGAGGTTTGGTGGGTAAGTCTGCAAGCTGGTCATTTGTATGGACATGTCGAACATTAAGAGCATTTTTTTGAACCAGGTCCCAAACAAAGTGCAAATCAATTTGTATGTGTTTAATTCTTGAATGCTGGACGGGATTAAAACTAAGATGTGTTGCACTAAGTTTGTCACACAAAAGCATTGGTGGCTTTGGAAGAGTGAACTTCATTTCAGTAAAGAGTGATAGTATCCACATAGATTATGATGCAGCTGTTGCAAGCGCTCGGTATTCAACTTTCATCGATGATCTTGCAATGGCACGTTGCTTTTTTGAACTCCATGAGATGGGATTTGAACCAAGCATAATTAAATATGCTGATGTTGAGCTTCGGTTGTCCAGATTTCCTGCCCAATCCGCATCTGAGTAGCATATAAGAGATGGGCTAATATTTTTCTAGATTGAGATGCCATGAAAAATTGTATTCTTCAAGTAATGCAACAACCATTTTGTAGCAACCCAGTGATTTGTAGTTGGAGAGTGCATGAACTATGATAGCTTGTTCACTGCAAAGCTAATGTCGGGCCTAATGAGTGAGAGATATTGCAATGCACCAATTACCCTGTGATATTATGTGGAGTCCGACAACTGCAGATCCATCATCTAACTTCAAAGGGACCGAAGTTGACAGTGGAGTGGTGACATCCTTGGCTCCATCCATGAATGTTCTGACCAGAAGGTCTCAGATGTATTTATGTTGAGGGAGAAACAACCCATTGTTGGTAGGAATCACCTCAATTCCAAGGAAGAAATTTAAAGGTCCCAAGTTTTGAGAGAGAATTTTGCCCCAAGTTTTTGTATGATGCTTGCAACAAAATTTGAGTAATTGCCAGTGATAATTAAGTCATCAACATACACCAAAAAATAGGCAATTGTTGACTCAACAACATACACAAATAAGGAAGAATCTGACTTGGTATTAACAAAACCAAATTCAAATAGGGCTTGTTTGAGAGCATAATACCAAGCACGTGGTGCTTATTTAAGACCATATATTGCTTTTCTAATGCAGCCAACATAATCAGGTTTTGATTGATTCCGAAAACCTAGAGGTTGTGTCATGTATACCTTTTCCATAAGATGACCATGAAGAAAAGCATTATTAACGTCTAATTGTCTTAGAGACCAACCTCGCATCATAGCAACAGATAAGACTGTTCGAATTGTCACTGGTTTGACTACAGGATTGAAAGTTTGAGTGTAGTATAATCCAAGTCTTTGATTAAAGCCTTTTGCCACTAATCTGGCTTTAAATTTGTCAATTGATTCATCAGCTAGTCGTTTTACCCGAAACACCCACTTACACCCAATAATATTGCATCCTATGGGAGGTGGTACCAGACGCCAAGTATCATGACGCATAAGAGCTGTGAGCTTAGATGACATAGCATCGCGTCACTTGGGATCAGTTAGGGCTTGAGTCACCCAAGTGGGTTCCAAGGATGGAGGTATAGGGTGTTTGGTGACCATGAACAATTTTTTAGGTTTGTAAATGTTGTTCATAGATCTGGTGACCATATTGTGGGTACGAGGTTCAGTATTGATGGGTACCTCAGATGCATGACTCACATTCATATTTTGAGAGGAATTTTCTGGTGGATCTAAAGGGAGTGAAGAAGGTTGACTTACCTGTGAAGGAGCCGTCGTGGGAGGCAAATCCACCAAAGAGAACGAAGGAGCAGCTGTACCCATTGCTGAGACATTTGGTGCTAGTGATTGTTCATGATGTAGTGTCGGCTGAGAAAAGGTCACAGTTTGAGGTTTGTGTTATGCAACGGAAACATAAACTCTAACGCTAGCTATTGAATATAATAATAAGTAGTAAAGCATAAATAAATAACCAAAATTAAATGCAAAAATAAAGAATACCAGGAATTAACGAGGTTCGGTATTAAAACCTATGTCCTCGGGCGCTGCAAAAGAAAACTCCACAATCTCCAAACAATATTACAAACTTTTGGGCAATACAACAAATACCCAAAACAAAGGGGAGATACAACAAAACTTGCAAACTAAAGGGTCCTTAAAGAAAGAACCCTAAACAAAAGAAGTATAATGGAATTACATCTTGGGATACAAATAACAATGATTTAGGTCCTTATATATAGGCCCCAAAAGTTTCCCACTTTTCATTCCCAAGCAATGTGGGACAAACTAACATTTTGGCCTATTACATATAAGTCCCTAAACCTTTTTCCATTATCACTTCTACCCCCATGTGATTTGCNTTTCCCCCATTTTTTTAATTCTTTTAATTAAACTATTATGATCAAACTCTTACAAATAATTTTACACAATAATATTAAACTATACTTCTAAATCATAAATATTAAAATGTATAAAACTTCGTAATCATATAATTTGACACATTGTTATTATTATTTTTTATGGTACGTAAAATATAAGAAAATTAAATACTAAAGTCTTATTCTCAAATTTCCATGTCTTGTATAAAATATAATTCATTCTTCTGCTAAAGTTTCATCAATGAAAGCATATACAAATACAAATAAACTGTGATACCATCACATTTTACAATTAAATTATATAAATTTAAAAAAATAAAAAAGATAATCCAAAATATTATCTATTAGATAATCCAAAATATTATTTATTATTTATAATAAATTTTTAAATACTTTAGCACTAAAATATATTTAATTAAAAAATCAAACATTTTTAAAGACTAAGTCCTAATACGACCCATTATAAAACGACTTATTAACAAATTGACCATTGATGACCCAAACCGATAAGAGTAATATTACATATACAACATTCTCATACAATATTTCTCATATAGTATTATGTGGCAAAAGATAATTGAGTGAAAGTTTAATTTAAATTTAAAATCATTCAATCTTATTTTGTCATATAATATTGTATAAAAATATTGTATGTGTAAACCATCACCAAATTAGTTGTTTTGTAAATTGTAACTTGTAAATTAATTGTCAATTATTATACTTCTTTTTCTTTACCAAGTTTTTCTCCCATTGGGTTTTTCTTGGTGAGGTTTTTAACGAGGCAATAATTGTTGTAATTTCTTATTTTATTTTTTGATAAATGAATAGATCTAATTTTTCTTATATTACAATTTTATTGTATTAAAATTGAATTAATATTTGAAATGTTAACAAAAAATAATAATAATAATAATAATAATAATTGAATTGAATTATTGATATTTAAAAAGTTAACTAAAAATAATTACATTTATAATTTATTCATTTATAAATTAGTAATTATTTATTTGAAAAGTTAACTAAATAAAACAAAATAAGAAAAAAAATAAAAAAGAGGGCTAACTTGGCCCGGCCCGTAGCCCAACCCAGCAGGTTAGGGTTGACAGGCCGGGCTGGGCCAACCATTCTCCCAAAAATGGCGGGCCTAACCCTACCTACCTTTGTTGGCGGGCGGGTTAGGACCTATCCGCCAAAATTAGTAACCCGCCGCGGGCCGGACAGGTTACTTTTCCAGCTTTACAAAAGATAATGACCCAATATGAGATACAGGCAAACCTGATCTGTCACCAATCACCACTTCAATATGTACCGTAATATTCGGAGTGGATTGAAAGATTTGAAAGATCAGTTGTCATGTTGTGTGAAGCAGTCGAGTCCACTAACCATTTCTGATCTTTGTTTTTGGAGGATGCTGCACAATTTGCTGAGAAATCATTCTGAGTATGCTTTGGACATGTTTTAGCCATGTGACCCAACTGATCGCATAGCTGGCACTTGGGCTTATATTTGCAAAAACCTGATTCGTTGGTGCGTTTGTTGTTGTCACGACCTTTGGAGGAGGATCGCTGTCCATTCGTTCCGGATGGGAGTTGCTTGCGCTGAGTGTAGTTAGCTGTTGCAACCAATGGCTGCGCAGCTTGTTGTTCCAGGCATTTGAGATAGCTTTCGTGACTGATTAACAGATCATGGAGCTCCTCAAACCTCAAAGGATTTTCTCGAGCTTGTATAGGGGCAGCAATTTCCCTATATTCCGGACCCAGACCATTTAGAATATAAAGGGTCAGATCGTCATCGGCAACAGGATGATCAATCCTGGCAAGTTCATCAGCTATAAGTTTGATCGCCTAGAGAAATTCTGTGACAGTCCGATTGCCACAATTGTTGAGAGTGAGACCTCCTTCAATTGCATCGCACGAGTGCGGGATTTTCCTACATAAAGACGGGTTAGTTTGTTCCAAGCTTCATGAGATGTTTTACATGAAGCAAGCAACAGTGTGATTGTGGTGGATGTGGAGGCTAGTAGGGCATGAAGGATCAGTTTATCTTGGCGAATCCAGTGGGAATTCGCTGCTTTGGAAGTGGTGGAATTTTCGGCATCAATAGCAGGACATCGAAGGTCACCAGTGACAAAATTCATGAGATCATAGCCAATAAGCAATGCTTCAAATTGTGCTCTCCATTATGGGAAGGTAGATGGTGTAAGCTTATCGTTGATGGTAGTAGCGGCATTAATGGTTATGATCGGTTTATCAGGGGTTATCAGAGGATGCGGAAGAAGACATTGTTGACGATTAAAAAAAATACTCGTTAGAGATTGGCTCTCTTGATACCATAAAAGACAAATAAGCACTGCTTTGAATTGAATTTTGTACCATTTCATTCATATGTCAAAATTGGTTTATATACACAAACAGAGTAACTTGCTGCAATGTAAAACCGATCCTTGATTCTAGCTTGCTGCAATCTTGGCATATCAGCTGTTAACATTTTGAATCTTCCGTTACATGTGAGTTGGCATATGATGATAGTTCATTCTTCCTTGATAGACCATTCAGTAATACATGAACATCTTAATTCTGTTTTCATTTGAGATAGAATATCTGTTGTATATTTGGGGGTTAAACCCTCCTCAAGTTTTGATTTCCTAACAAAAATCTCCCTAAAATTTATGAAATTCTTAAACAAGAATTGTTTTTTACTAGAGATTAGTAAGCGGTTAGAAATTTACCAATATGAGTTAATGAATATTCATCAAATTGTCATCCTGCCGTTTATTTTAACATTTAAATTTAATAGTAATGAAATTCTATTATTTCAAAAATCTCATAATTTTTTTTTTGAAATCTTTTAAACTTAGGACTAGTTTGAGATTTTTCTAGCTTTAAGATTAATGAACTTTGACTCAACTTTGGAAATAAATCAGTTTTGAAAATAATTTGAAATGTGTTTGGTAAAACATATATTTTAAATGGCTTTGATTTTCAAATTCTATAATGTTATAATTGGTAAAATAGATTTTTAATTATTATTATATATCTAATGACAAAAAAGGACAGTTTTTTTTTTCTCAAAATATTGTATAATTATAAAATTGTATTGTATTTGACAAAAATCAAATGGAAACAAACCAATAAAAGTCTTGTTGGGTTTTGGTCCATGGGAGTATCCGATCTACTTGCGTTTGAGTCGTATTTGCACTTGGGCCGAATTACGTACAAACTCGCAGACCCATCCCATTCAAATTAATGTAACCAGTGATAAATCAAACTATGCCGTATCTGGCCTGCTTTCAAAAAGCCCACCTGGCACGCCACAGCTTCGGCAGTGGTCTGAAACCCGACGGCCCATCCTACATTTTCCTGATGCAGGTCGCGTACATCATCATGATCGTCAACCGTTAGCCGTCGGATCCGTCTCTGAAAAAAATGGTGAATCCACCAAAGAAACAGTTTCTCCTCTTCTCTCTATTCGCCCTCTTCTTCTTCTCTTACTATCACCACTCCTCTCTCCCCATCTCCTCAGACCCCAATCCCTCTTTAACTCAGAACGTTAACGTTTTTCGCAACCATTTTCCCCAAAACTTCACTCTCATTATCAAACTCCTCACTTTCAATCGTCTCAACTCACTCTCCCGCTGTCTCCACTCGCTCGCCGCCGCAGATTATTTATCCGAAACCGTCCATCTCCACATTTACATTGACCATTTTGCCCTTCCTAATAATAATCACTCCTCTGAATCAACTGATTTTTATTTGGAGGAGCCTCGTCGGATCTTGCGGTTTGTCGAGGGGTTTAAATGGAAATTCGGAGAAAAATTTGTGCATTACCGGACGGGAAACGTGGGACTGCAGGCTCAGTGGCTGGAGGCGTGGTGGCCTTCTTCGGATCACGAGTTTGCGTTTGTTGTGGAGGATGATTTGGAGGTTTCCCCTCTTTTTTATAAGTTTCTTCGGGATTTGATTGTGAATTATTATTATAAATCATCCAATTCTAGTCAATCTATCTATGGAGCATCGCTTCAGCGCCCGAGGTTCGTTCCAGGTACCATTTCATATGTTTTTTTCCCCTGTAAATGAAACAAATTGTGGATCAGAAGCAATAGCTAGGACTTATTTTTTCGTATTGTTGATGTTGTTGGTGAAGCTCTTGCTTTATTTTATGATTGGTGTTATTAGAGAATTAACTGGTAAAATGGAACAAATTTATATGATATCTCATTTCAAAAGAACATGGCATTGATGTGTGAGATCTTTTTTTCTTGTTGTAATGTTGATTTATGAGCTTTAACAACTAGCCAGCTGATGTTTCTTGGAGGATAATATTTATAGCATTTCAAGGGCAGTTTTGAGATTGAATTTGGATGCAATTTTTTGCCTTCAAATTGAGAGAGTGCTGTCTAGTACTGCACTCAATTCTATTTTTTGAAGCTCTAGTTCCTTGTTACCA